ACAACAAAAAAAAAAAATGGTGGTATTACAGGGTTGCCAATGAGAGACTCCAGTCAGGGCTCAGGGAGCCCTTGGATTCTTCATGGTTACCTCTCTTGCCCTCTACCCTCCCTTCCTCGATCTCACCTATTTCAGCATATTCGGCAGTGTTTCTTTGAATGAATAAACCTTGACAATGTGCCAACCTGGATCCTCTGCCAAAAGAGCCAGAAGTTCTATCACACTAGGGAGAGCGCCGGCTTCTTGGCGCTGGCTCTTGCCAAGGCGTGCAGATGCGCACTTCTCTGCCTCTCCGCACCTTGAGCACAGTCTTAGAAAGACCCTCCCCATGGCCACAGCACACACTCTCCTCTGCAGCCCCTTCCTCAGAAGACGTTCTCCATAGTCCGGCTCCTCCCGAGAGCCCTTGTCACACTTCACCGTTTTATTGTCTGAGACTAGCAGGAGGAAATCAGTTCTTATCCTGGGGAGCTAGGCCAGGTGGGCTATCCTTCCAATCCCAGCGCTCAGGAGGCCGAGGCAGGAGGATTGCTACAGGGTCAAGGCAAGCCTGGGCTTTCAGAGTGAGAAAAGGAAAAAGAAAATAAAAAGACTGGGAAATGGCTCAGTGGATAAAAGTGGTAGCTGCACAGCCTGAGGACCTGAGTTAGATCCCCTGAATCAAAGTAAAAGAGCAGGATGAAGCCTCCTAGGGTGGCGCATACCTTTATCCCAGCACTCAGGAGCAGGAGCAGGTGGGTCTCTATGAGTTCAAGGTCAGCCTGGTCTACAGAGAGAGCTCCAGGCCAGTGAGACCCTGTCTCCAAAACAACCACCATCTGCAATCCCAGTATTCTACGCAAGATGGGAAGCAGAGACAGGAGACTCACCCAGAAGTTCCCAGGCCAACTAGCCTGGAGAATTCATCACAGCAGCAGAAACGAGAGCCTGCACAAGGCGGAAAGTGAGAACCAGCTCCCCAACGTTGTCCTCTGACCTCCACACACACCCTGTGACACACACACACGTACACACACACAAGTGCACACACAGACACACAAATTTTTTTTTTCTTAAGGATAGCAAAACAAAAAAATGTCCTAAGCATAATTCTGTGGTACAGCACTTTCCAGGCCTGGATTCAATCTTCAACACAGCAATTATTAATAATGAATTTTTTTTTTGTCTTTTTGAGATAGGGTCTCCTTGTAGCCCCAGCTGTCTTGTAACTCACTATGTAGACCAGGCTGGCCTTGAACTCATGAAGATCTGACTGCCTCTGCCTCCCAAGTGCTGGGATTAAAGGCATGCGCCACCATGCCCAGCCACTAATGAAATTTTTAAAAATAGTTCATTGCATTCCTCTGGGCTCTCACAGTCTGCAAGACTGTGGCAGCAGCTTCAAGGAGACCAGGAAAACTAGAGAGATGCTAGTTTCCTGGAGAGAGCCAAGGCTCCACACTGCATACAATGAGGACCAGGAGCAACTGGAGACCATGTTTCAGCATGCACCCCCAAGGGCCTGAACCACTGGGCAAGCTCCTGGAGGAAGAGCCAGGAACTGCTGAGTCCTTGCCAGCCTGTCCTCTTCACACCTCAGCTCAGTTCTCAGTTCTAGTTCCCACCTGGGAAGCTCAGCTAATAAATTCCCCTGAAGGTTCACTGAAAACCAGGTACCTGAAGTGGCCAGAGAAAGACGTTCATGTCCCCGTGGATGCCGTGGAGAGAGTACATGCCACTACTGCTCCCCATGGTAGTAGAAAGCAAGGCCCTCTTATTCTGAAAGAGAAAACAACCTCCTTACCCTCCTCTCCTGGGTCCCAGCAAGTTAATGAACCAGCCCCAGGGAGAAGGATGCTCCAGTCCACCCTATTGGCTCTGTTAATGTCAGACGTGGGCTCCTCTGTGCCCTCAGTATGACTGCAGAAGTGTCACTTTCCGTTGTGTACAACCACAGTTGGCACGCAGCTGTGGACAGCTAGGAATGTGACCCAACTCAAAATCAAAAACTTACTTAAAACATGAGGAGTTATTTTGGCAGCTTTTTTGTGTATTCAGATTGAGCAGTTCTTGAGCACACACTTTATAGATGACAGAATGGTGCACCAATGTCAAAAGATTAGATATGTCCACTCGACAGTACTCAGAGCCTGAGGCCAGCCCAGGTGTGTGGCCAGCAGCCCAGGGCTGTCACAGGAACTGGTACCAGTGTTGGTGGCTCCGCTGGACTTCTAGCTGTCTCTCCACAGTGCTATAAAGACCTGTCACCTATGTTTCTTACCCAGTATTTGGGACTCTAAATAACAAAAAAATGTATTTTATTTGCTTTATGTTTTTTCAGACAGGGAAACTCAGTATGTAACTGAGGATGACCTTGAATTCCTGGTTTTTCCTGCCTTCACCTCCCAAGTGCTGGAATTACGGATGTGGTCATTCCACCAGTAAGATTTTCATTTTTTTTGTTTTCCATATTATTTTTGCTATGGAAAATCTCAAACATACATAAAGAAAACAGCATACTGAAGCATCTACCAGGGACCTTCAACTCTCAGTATTTTGCCATTCTAGTTTTTCTAATTTTTTTTCTGGAATAATAAATCCCAAGAACTGGTGAGATGACTCACTGGGTAAAGGTGCTTGCTGCCAAGCCTAATGCCTTGAATTCTATCCCCCAAACCCACATGGTAGGAGAAAACTAACTTCTGCAAGTTGTCCTCTCAGCTACATACTAGAGCTTTGGGGGTACATGCATGCTCCCACCCACACAATCAATCAGTCAATCAATCAATCAATAAATAAATACAAAAAAATTAAATCCAAGACATCAGATCATTTCATTTTATACAACATTTGTAATGATCCCTCCCTGGTCTTAGTGTCTAGCTGCGCTCTCAGGGCAGACTCTACCCAATGATTCACTTACCCGAAAGGGCCCGTTGTCGTACATGGTAGCATATGAGTAGGCAAAATCTGGTACAAACAGACGCTCAATCCAGCCTTTCATAATGGCAGGCACTCCAAACCAATACAGTGGGAACTGTCAGAAAACATTGAAGAGGTCAGACCTGAGGCACCAACCCACCCCACCTCTTCCACACCCTCACCCCCTTGGCCAGGCAAAGCTCAGGGTGCTGAACTTCACACATGGGGGTACCTTTCTTCATGCCTTTGCCTTTCCTTCTAGAAGTGTTAGCACAGTTAACAAAACAGGAAGTTAGTCAAGCTAGGTGGCTTGATCCCTTTGCTTAAACTTCCTGGAGAGACTGCTGCTGGAGAACCATGCAAGCCCTGGAATTTGAGGCCAGCCCAGGCAGCATCTCACACACACACACACACACACACACACACACACACACACACTAAAGCTGAGTGTAGCCATGGGCATCTGTTATACTAAAACTCAGGAGGCTCAGGCAAGAATTTGAGTGATCAAGGCCAGCCTGGGCTACACAGTGAGACCATCTCAAAAAGCAAAGAAAAGGAACTATAACTGGGCATAGTGATGATAATCCCAGCTTGAGGCTGAAGGATCAGGAGTACAAGGCTAGCCCAGGCAACATAGTAAGACACTGTCTCAAAATAAATAAAAGGGCTAGAAAGATGGCTCAGCAGTAAAGAGCACTGGCTGTTCGTGCAGAGGACCTGGGTTTGGTTCCCAGCACCCACATGATGGCTACCAACTGTCCCTAACTGTTCCAAGGGGTCTAACATCCTCTTCTGGCATCCACAGACATTACACTCATAGGTGCACCTACATACATGCAGACAATACACTCAACTCATACACAGGAAATAAAATATTTTTTTAAAAATCTAAAGCTGCTGCAGCTGGAAAAATAGATCAGCGGTTAAGAGCACTGGCAGCTCTAGCAGAGGACCCAGGTTTGATTCCTAGCACCCACATGGGGGCTAACTCCAGTTCCAAGGGATTCAATGCCCTCTTCTGACCTCCGTGGGCACTGCATGACACGGGTGCCCCTCCCTACCTGCAGGTATAACACTCATACATATAAAATAAAAATAATAAATAAAATTTTTTAATTATAAAATTTCTCCTCTAGAAGCAGGCATAGCACTTTCCAGGACTATAGAAACTAACCAGTAGGAAG